TCCTGCGACTTTCGAAGCTCTCTATCGAAACGAACTGCCTGCCTCGGGCGGCGTATTATTCTCCTCAGTGACGGGACGAGATGGGGACAGCTACGGGAGATAGTCTCGCCTGGTCGCTTGAGGTCAACCGCCATCCGGTGAGTCCCTGAGCTCGTGAGCGGATGACCGAAGGCCCAGGCCGATCATGGACTTTGCGGAATCAATCAGTGCAGAAATGTCATTGCTTTTGGCTTATTTATCTTCTCTTGATTGGACGAATCAACGAGCTGCGTGGAGCTGGATGTCCTCATCTCTCGCGCGGGGCACGCATCTCTCTGATTACCAATGGCTGCAGCCGCCACTGTTATGACTTGGAATACGCCGGGAAACGAACGAACGACCGACCGAGCGTGTCTCACGTTGCAGCAACATTGTGCTTTCTCGTCGAGATTATTTCTGATTGCATCGTGTGTGATTGAATGCAGAGCCCACGAAAACAAGCAGAAGAGGCGGCTTGGATGTCGGAGACAAATGAAAAAGGAACCCGTTTTCGCACCATCTCCGAAGAATAATGTTCTTGATCCGGCCTGAGAGATTTTCCGTTTTCTCCAGCGAACAGTGAGAACACAAGGTCAGAAGAAGACGCTTGGGAGGACGCCGTCGGTAGTTCATGAATCATGACCAGACGTAGGATAAGGTAGCTGAGCGCTAGGGACATTCATCCGGAGAGCATAATAGCTACAATAGATAAATTAATCCACAGGGACGATAAGTGCCCCTGGCAACTAATCGGCTACTACCGGATCCCGTTAGGTCGACGAGACCGTTGCTCGTGACAGACGGCTCGATTCAAGGCGAATCTCTCCGAAGCATACTTCGATGAACGAACGCGTGTAAGTGACGTGACACAATCTTGACTGCCAGCTGTGCAATCAATCTTCACTTACCCTTTGAGTTGGGTCTGCGCGTCTCTTCAACAGTCTTGCTTCAAGCGTCCCTCTCTGATTGGACTTTTCAAAAACCCCGAAAATCCTTCCCTGACCGAGTCGCTGTTTCGAGTTTGTTTCGAACAAAAGCCTGATTCCTGCCATTTTTAGTCGCTGGCGGGCGCGTTCGACTCGGAAGCTCGCCTCCAATCCCCCGCTAGCTTGCAAAAAACTGAACCTAATCCGAATTGATCGATGCGACCGTTATCGTCGACCGGAGAGCCTGGTGCATCTAATCCTAACAAATAGCCGTCTTGTTTCAAGATATGTCCTGGGGTCTCGAATCCCCGTACGTTCCGTGCTTCCAGCCGCGAACGTTGGCCTGCAACCGCCTTCGTGCTTGAAAAAGCGAGCCTCGATGCCACACCTAGGTCGTCCTTCAAAGGGTCGAGGGTCGAAAAATTCAGGAAAAGGCTCATAGACCCACAAGACGATCTAAGCGTGAGGAAATATTTTCGCCTGCCGTGACTATCTCATGGTGTTCCGATGGAAAATCAGAATCATCATCGCTCTATGAATGCCCTTACCCGAGAATTAACTCTCTGAACGCATGTTCGCTCAAGGACGCGCACTCCACTCAGATCAGGCGGACCTCGCATGAACTTCTCGACTAAGAGTGTCAGGGCAGTCGAGACACCAGCTTGGGAGCCCTGAGCGTCCGACAGAGGGTCGTACGGGTGAGAAGAGGCTGAGACGAGGTATGAGAACTTCATAAAGTTTTTTCCGAAGTCGCCTCAATGGATGCGGTTCGACTCGGGAGTCAGCTACCGGGGGCGTCCCGATCCAAGGTGGGGCGGGCGGAACGGTTCATCAGATACACACCGAGGTCGCATCGGGGAAGCCAT